ACAAAAAAATTAATATTATAAATGCAAAATGAGGGCTGATGCAAATGACAGGCCCCAAAGATTAACCTTCAATAGCTTCATGAATATTCTACCCTTGTGACACATATTAATATATTACTGGATTTACTTATATGTGAAATGTCTCTCCATATTTTTTAGCTTTGTAAGTAAATATAGATTACAGTAATAAATAGATTTATAAAATAAAATAGATTGTACTAAGATCCACATACATCATGCTTCAAATATCAGCTTTTGGATAGTTTGTGTCTCACAATATCCCACTAGCAATCTGTTGCCAGTGAACAAATAACTTTTTACTTAAATTGTCAGCTTTGAGTTTAGAATGTGTTCTGGCTTATATTTCCTCTTCCTGTGCTATTTATAATGAAAACGGATGATAGTTACAATTGTGCATTAAATCATTTATTTATATTTTGTGTTTTCAGAATTTGAGAGGTACTTTTGAGAGGAAAGAACATTTTCAAATGAAAAAAAAGAGTAAAAATATTTTAAATGGAGCAAAACAACTTAAGAAAATCTGGATCCAGAGCTCTTGTCACATGTGTATATATTTCTAACCTGATCTTTACACTTGTCCTCAGAAATGAGAGCTTTTTTTTTTTTGAGAGAAAATTTTATCATAGAGAAATATGAAGTAATTACTAAAATAAATTGTCAAATATTTTGAACTTTATATAGAGTAACTTTTTGTACTTTCTGTGAGTGGCATCCCATAGGTGATAGCAACACATAATTTCAATCCTTCTTTAGATGACAATGGACAGAAACCCTCTTCCTCTGTTGATAACCTATGTGTGCCATTTGTCCCATGGTCTTTTCAGGAAAGCGACATGGAAAAAAGGGATAAATATTAAGATATTTCTTTCCCTGAAGTATTTTCACATGAATGACCCCCTGAAACATGTTAGTATTTTATTCTTAAATCTGGTTTAGTAATTCACAAGGGACTGTTAGTATATTCTACAGTGGTGTTTCTCAAAATATAGTCCAGGAGCCATCTGGATTGCAATTCCTATTGGTGTTTTTGTATGATATCATCTCAGATCTATGGACTCAGAATTTTGTAGATTGGTGGGAGAAAGTGGAGGGATCTTATTTCATAAGTCCCTTATGTCATAAGTATTCAAGTTAAGGAACCACAGTTTTATATCATGATGCTTAACACTTAGCATGCATGCCTCCACTTCATTATTGCATAGTCACTGCAGACATCACTAATTGATTCCAGTATTTTTTCCTGCAGGACTAACATAAATCCACATAGTAATACTCAATATAATGCCTAGGCAGTCAGTTGGTTTGATAGATAAAATAGCCTCTCCTGAAGCTATTCTATATGGACAGTGTTCTTAGGCAATATATATTTTTTAAAATATAGTTAACAATTTGGAGATAAACACTGATATTCTTTAAGCTGCAAATTGATATCAGAAAATTTTACACAAAATATTGAATATAGAGCTTAGAGTAGAGTAGAAAGCAAGTCTGAATTCAAGAAGGTGTCAACTCTGGAAACCACATTCATAATAATAAAAAGTAATCAATGATGGAAGAAAACATAAAAGAAGATACAATTCAAAAGACATATTAGAATGAGGCCGTTAAACAACTCTTTATAATTCCACTTAGTAGTTTCCGAGAGCTTAAATGTGAATAGTATAAATTATGTTCATAATTTTGACTTAAAATACCCAGAAAAAGATAAGGCATTATGTTTAAGGCAGTTTGTGATATGTTTTAGTAAGTTCCCAAACCAAAGAATTTAAAGGGAAAGGAGTGCATGAAATGTAAGTTCTTAGCAAATTGATAAAGTTAATGAATAATTCTAACTTTTAGGATTTCAGATACTCATTTTTAGAATCTGTTTTATTCATCTATTACAATCCTATTTATTGAAGACATTAGCAATAGTAAATATTAGCAAATTATCCTGTCATCCTACTCTATTTATAAATTCAAACTTTTTGTAATATGACTTTTTTATGTAGTGAATTTAGAATTATATAAGGAAATTGACTGTCAAATAATTCCTTTAAAATGACATTTTTTAAATTTTTATGGAACGCTCTTGATAAATATGTTGAAGGTGATCATTTCTGAAATAGTAAATCAAAAATTAAAAAATACATGTTTATTGCTTTTTTGATAACTGCACACAGGCTGGAACCTGTAAATACTCAGATTCTTATTCATGTAGTATGTAAATAATACTTATAAGTGTTTGAAAGTAAATAAATCCTTTTACAAAAATAATTTCGGCCATTCTTTAAAAAATATTTACCATGTTAACATTAACACATAAGTATTATATCTAATTAAATTTTTATGTATTTTTTTTAAAAATATAATCATTGTGGAAATCTGATAATTAAATTTTCAAAAAATACATATCACCTCATCTTTTATTTAAAATTAATAAAATTAATCGTTTATGTAAATATTTTGACCTAATAGACTAGGGAGGCAGTTTTAGAGATACTCTTTAAGGGAATTGCCTGTGACAAACACACCATCAATTTTATGGCCAAATTAAAGCAATTTCTACCATATCAATGCCAAACTTGCTGCTTTCCTTACTGGAATCCTTGGAAAAGCTCTGGACTGGGAGCTAGGAGATACGTCTTCTAGTCTTGGCTTATATTTGGTTAATTATGATTATAAAAGTGAATCATGTGGTTAACTAAGCATAATTGGACATAGTTGTTCATGCTGTGATTCTATGAACATCTGGGAAACAAGCTCTTACTACTTACATATAATTGTACGTATTTATGGGAAGAAAACTTGAAGTGGATTGCTTGAAGTAAAGGCACAAACTTTTAAAGATGATTATACCACATATTTGCCTTTATGAACATATATCTACCTCATTGATAATAATAAAGATTCTTGCCCCTCTTCTTCGTATAAACCATTGCATCATGGACCACAATTGTGTTTCATCTAAAAAGCAATCTAAAGTAGGAAAATACACTGAAGGCTTTTATAGGCTTTAATTATAACTTCTAAAAAGAAACATTTTAACTGTTCTTATTTAACAAATTCTAGAATATTTGACTCTCCTTAAACTTTAAAAATAACATGGAATTTTGGGGGGAATATTAAAAGCAATTTATTTTTTACCAAATAACTGTATAACTTTAGATAAATGTAACTAGAACATAATAGTGTGTTGGAAGTATTTTGCTGACTTTTTTAGTGATACTTTTACAGAAAATATGACAGCTTCTTTGCTCCTGTTTTTAGTTTGACATAATGTCTAAAATTCTAAGGAAGTTTGACCAATGATTAAACAATGGCTTGATGGGGCATGATAACCTAATTCTCTAGAGAGTAGACCTCTTTTCATAATTTACAGTGCAAGCACCTGTGATTTATTTAGCTGTACTAATGTTTTCTATTTAAATATGTTTAAGTAGTTAAAGCTTACCTATATCCATACTACTAACATAAGTTTTTGTATAAGAATAACTTTCAACTTTAACCTTTTGTAATTTTTTATTTCTTTATTTCTAATGATTTTGACTTACTACTATAGCCTCATAAATATTTTCCAGTTTTTCCCACCTTCACTTTATTTTTCGATATTATGCAATCGTACATTTTTCCATCCCAATAATTAAGAGGATATGTAATAGTTTAAATTTTTTTCAACTAGATTATAAAGACAATAAAAGAGGATTTGCAAAGTAGCTTGATTTTATCTTTGTTCAATCTCTCATCTACTTTATTTGCATTATACATTTATTTTTGTTAACTATAGTTAATTTTGTCTTTTATCAGGACTGCTGATCTTTTTTTTTAGTTCAACTGTATTGAACAGCTAAGGGTAAAGAGTTTACAAACCACAGTTAAGTAATATTATGGTAGATTCTCTGAACCATTGCAAAATACATGATCAGAAATGAATTAATTAACTTATTATTAAAGAATAGAATTGTGAAAGAATAAACAATGTAGGAGAGAACACTGCCTGTGGTATTGGATTTAGGAAGAATTTTTAAGGAGTCTATTGTTCATTGACAGATGGCAAGGAAATTTCTTTGAAATTAACTTTTTTCAGATGGTCCATCATGGTTTTCATGGGTGCTATTTATCATTTGTAAGACTCTGATGTATCAAATAGTAATGATAGATGAGGAGAATCTCAGTCAATGGGTATGTCTGTCAAAGAGCTAGCTCCAATTTTGGAGGACATTAATTTTCATAGAGAGTTAATAGTTTTCCTGTAGAATTCCACATGCTTAATGTACTTTTGAAACAAATGCACTTGGATGAAAATTCATTGTTTTAAGTTGAACATCCTGTGTTTACTCTGATATTTTCTTGATATTCAGGATTACAGAGCACTACTATCAGAAGTAAGAAAATAGGTTTAAAATTGTGACTACTTTGATAAATAGAAAATTTTTAAGTCTTTGATAAAGAATTAATGAATTATTTTATTATCAAAAATAATATTGATCCCATAAGTGATGCATATGAGTAGAAAACATTAACAGATGATGAAATTTCCTGTTTGGTAGAGAAAAAAAATCTTAAGAAAAATTATTTAAAATACTTGTGTATTTGTCATTTTTAGAGAATAAATAATTGAGGTAATTTTTATGATAAAATATGTCATATTTCTTCTTTCAAATCACATGGTTATATAGAATTTTATTATAATGCAAGAAATTCTTCTTGTGTTATTAAATACATTTTCATCTTTACAACCCAAAAACTATCTCATGATATCCTATGTTAAGTAATGCTAGTTCTTCAAAAGTGTATATGTTCCAAAAGCGAATTTAAAATTCCAGGAGGATTTATTGCCTGACAATTCTGGTTTTATGTTTTTGTCCTTTGTTGCTTATTAAAACTCCAGTTGTGTTGATGACTGCTCAGGATTCTGAGAAGCAGTCAGTCTCCTGACTAGTGAATGGCAGGAGCTGGTGGCCTGCACTTCTGTTTGCCCTTAACTATTTAATTCTCAGATATTGACCAATGGAACAAGGTAATTGAGCAACTAGGAACACCGTGTCCGGAATTCATGAAGAAATTGCAACCCACAGTAAGAAACTATGTGGAGAATCGGCCCAAGTATGCCGGACTCACCTTCCCCAAGCTCTTTCCAGATTCCCTCTTCCCAGCGGATTCCGAGCACAATAAACTCAAAGGTAAGCCTATCAGAGCAACTGGAGATCAACTGTGTGGGGCGGTGGACTAAACAAACAAATAGAGACACCTCTCTTTAACTTGAACTGCCTCAATTTAAGGAGCAGTATTTCTTTTTTTTAATTTAAAATAATATTTTTTAAAATCACAATTACATACAAACCTATAAATATGACCAACCAGTAATCAGCCAAACCATCAATCCTAAACTTAGTGTGTTGTATAAAAGTTACCTGGTAAAGAGATTTTTATATCTGGAGAAAAGTAACATGGATTTTAGTCCCAAATCTGAGTCTAGCTACTGCTGCACCTTTAATCACAGAGACCCTTGATCTCTGGGTCTCGGTTTACTTTTTTCAAAATTTTATTTTATTTTTTATTAGTTTCAGATCTATATCACAATTGTTAGACCTTTATCTAATTTACAAAGTGATCTTCCGTCCCCCCACCACCCCCCGCCCCGGTTACTCTATTATTCACCTGGCACTATATAGAGTTATTACAATAATATAGACTATATTCCCTATGCTATACTCCATTTCCCTATAACTGTTTTGTAACTAATTTGTACTTCTTAATCCCTTCACTTTTTCATCCAGCCCCCTAACCCTAATCCCGTCTGGTCATCACCAGTTTGTTCTAGGATGGGTATTTTTTAAAAGATCTTTCTTACAAAGAGAAAATGGCCAAAGATTGTAGAATTGTCCGGATATTCAAAGGGAAGCATAGTGCTAAAGTGTGTGACAGTGCTGTGGGTTAACTATTTCATAGAGCTTATTTAGAACCTTAAAATTATTTTGCCGTATAACTCTAAAAGACCAACGTAATGTACATTGAAATCATTGTTTAAATTTTTTTATTACTTGGAAAATATTTTCAACACAAGTTTGAGTTGTAAACTCTTAGAGATGCTGATGTCTGCATTTTATTTGTATTTTAGGGAGTGCTTAACCACCATTTGTCTTTTTTTCATTTTAGAGAGACAAACGAGATACCTACACATTTTACATGCAATATAAACACTTTTATTAATAAGTAATTCTTTCAACTACTGTGTTTGTAGTCATAAACATTAGTAACGAATCTTATGATAATAAAACTGGGATAATAATGCATCAGCCATAAGATTGAAGACAAGGACTACATTGGCAATGTATAGTGTGATATAAATAATATTCTAATTTTAATTTAGGGCATCCCTGAGAAACTAATTTTGAAACAAAATTAAAATCTCTGTGAACCTGAGCAAGTTATCTAATCTTATCTAAAGTTAGATTTCTTTATCTTTTTTAATAAATAAAGGCGAAAGATCTTTATAGTTTGTTGGGAGGATTAAATGACCAAATAATTTGTTAAGCACTTAGAACACTACCTGGCTCACAGAAAATGCTCAATAACTGTTAGCTATAAAAATACTAATAAATGTAATAATTATAATTTAAAATGTATTTATATGTTATCAAAAAAAGGACATATGCTTTTAAAATTTTACCCCAAATGTTTGGTAAACAATGAACTAGTACAGACTTAATTTACAGACTTAATTTATAGCTATATAGACTAAAATGTGATGGAGAACCTAAAACGCGGTGCCTCCTATTTCTCAGGATCTTTTCATCTCCTCCCAACTTTCATCTGGTGGGTTTAAATGTGCAGCATTGTTTTTGTGTTTGTGACACTTAATGCAAAGTTAGGTTTCTTCCTTCAGCTGGCTCTCTGAATGGCAGCAGACTAAATTATTACTAAATCTATTTCTTTTAAGATCAACACATATGCAGGTTGAAGAAGAGCTAAGTAGAGAATTTATGTCTTTATGATGCTAATTGATGCGTCAGGCAAAAGAATTCCCTTCATATGAATATACTTGTAATTGTAACAATATGGAGATGACAAGTCCTGATTAAATTATTTGAGATAATGACAGCACTTGTAGAAAAACTATGAAGTAAAATACCAACCGTCCTTCATAATATGATTTCAACTTCCTTGAGTTTATTTTTGGCTGTTTAATTCAATTTGAATCTCTATGATTATATTATTTTTACAAATTATAAACTAGTTTATATATTTATACTCATTTAATTATAATTTTAATATAAAAATTAGCAAATTATAAAGAATTATACAAATAATCAAAGGGGAGAATTTATTCTAGTGTTATCAAACAAGAACATAAGACATTTGCTAGCAAATGAAAGAATGATGGGTGAGGATTGAAATCTTTTCCTCTTCCTCATTTTGCTCCCTACAAACAGTATTCATCATTCTTTATTTATTATGAGATGATTTGTTATTGCTGTAGTTCATGCCTCTCTCTATTGGTGAGAAGCCCACACTACTCCCACCCTCTCTAAGAGCAGAAACATGGGTGGGTTTCATGGGAGAATCTGTGGGAAGGGTGTGTGTGGGTCTGAGTATAAAACAGTTACAAATCTAAGAGATCTTTGAACCAATAAAATAAATAAATACAACCCTCATTAGGGAGTCTTTGAAAATGAGAAAAATTAAATATCGAAAGTTAATGTATAAGTATTTCTATACTTTTGTTATTACTGTGAGCTTCAGATTGTCTGTTTAGAAGTAGCAGAAATTAAATCTCTAAAATTGTGATTCCCAGAAAAATGATTAATAGAAATAAAAAAAATTAGTCTTCCAGTCTAATTGAACTAGTGACATTTTTGGTAAATATAAAAATAAGTAATTAAATATATAAAAAGTACATGAATTAAAATGTAACAACAGAAGAAAATACTGTCATAGGACATTTGAAAAGAATACACTGCTACATTTTTTCTGCAGTATGATCAAAATCGTTAAAAGATACATAAATGAAACTAGAAGAGAATATATCAATAATAAGAGTGATTGCCTCTATATGGTGGGGATAGTTGGTTTTTCCTGATTTCTAAATTTTCTATAATTAACCCATATTTTCTTAATAATCAGAAAAATTAAGTAAATATTGGCACATATCCATGGATTCAAACACATTGCCTTTTCCTAATTTAGCAAACCAATTTAAATTTCGTTCTCTTTAATTTGAAGTTTTACCATATATTTGGAACAAATTGAATATTTTTACCATAGAACTAGCACATCAGTTTGGAACTATTTATGTAAAATTTTATATATTTTTAGAGATTTAAAACTGAGTATCTTTTAGCAATTAAACAAATACGCTTACTGATTATTACCACATAATTTTTAAAAATATATTCCTGGAATCTCACATTGTACCTGGCACACAGTGAGCATTTAGTTTTTTATAAACTGAACCAGATCCCCCATGTCAATTTGGTTACTAAATCTTGTGGATTCTTTCTCTCAGATCTGCCCCTTCCTCTCTATCCTTAAAGCTTCTGCTTCTGGTAAAGCCCTCACCATCTCCTGTCTTCAAAAAAGTCACCCCTGGAGCGCGGCGTAAGGAATGCGGTCAGCAGTAATGTAATGGCTAAGTGTAGAGCCAGCGGGGAGAAAGAGTAGTCAGGGGATCGTTTCATAAACTATATAAATGTCTAACCAATGTACTGTATACTTGAAACTAATAATAAAATTAAAATTTAAAAGTCACCCCTGACCACCTAGCCTCCATCTAGACACTGCTTTAGCCCCTTTCCTAGCTCAGAAGAGCTTTTAAAATGAACAGTCTTTACCTACTTCATCTAATTCCTTTTAGATTTCATTCTTTTAGATTTATTTTTAGTTATGTGAGCAATACATGTACATATTCTCCTCTCCTCAGAGGTAACTAGCATTTTTAGTTTGTTGATTATCTTTGCAGACCTTTTCTATGCATTTATAACACATAAATAGAAGAAAATGCTTGCTTGTTGTTTTGCTGAGAAGGGGCATATTTACACAAATGGCCTCATGATCTAAGGCTCATTTTACATTTTTTTTTTTAACTTAACAACATATCCATGTGAGTACTTACAGATCTACCTCATTCTTTTAAATTGCCAGATATAGTTCCAAGGTACAATTGTACCATAGGTTATTTGGTTGTTCTATAGATGGAAATTTAGACTGTTTAAATTTTTTTATTCCATAGCCAAGGCTGTAGTGAGCATCCCTTTTGTATGCATTACAAGAATATGTGCAATTGTTTTCCTAGGCTGTACCTAAAAGTGGAACTGCTGAGTCATAAAATATTCACATTTAAAATTTTAATAGATACTGCCAAATTTGCCCTCTGAAAAATCTTCATCAATTTACATTCCCACCAACGTGAATGAAATTACCTAATGTTAGTAGATATTACACCATCTTTTATTTTTGCAAATCTGATGGATAAAAAAAGATTTTATTGTTTCATCTTGCACTTCCCTTAATCACTTGGTGGTTACCTGATGTTTCGGAGGAAGGTGCTAGTTGATCTTTGTATTCTTAATTTCCTTTCTATCCAATAAATTTCATTGCCAAAATCAAAATTTTACTAATTGCTTTTCTCATTTATCATTTCAGCCAGCCAAGCCAGGGACTTGTTGTCAAAGATGCTAGTCATTGACCCAGCCAAAAGGATATCAGTGGATGACGCTTTACAGCACCCATATATCAATGTCTGGTATGACCCTGCCGAAGTGGAGGCGGTAAGGCATAAGCTTATTTTATTTTCCTTCCACAAATCGTAGTAACTGGGTGCTCAGTGGTAAAAAATGAAAAAGAATTAGAATTCAAAAGAACACACAAAGGACCTTCATGAAATTCCAAAGTCACAAAGTTAATACTTCCTCTCTAGAAGTTATTTTCTTCTACCTGTGTTTTAAGTGCATTTCTTTTTTTTCAAGATTTCCTATGAGAGATAGTGATTGAATCCAACACACCTGAGCTGCCCATGAAACACTTCTGTTTGTTTTTGTTAAATTGTTAACTCTACCAGTGTCTCCTCCTTTATTATCAGCCTCTCCTGATGCAAAATAAATAGCAGAAAACATAATAGAGGATAAGTTAACTTTCCCTCTATTTCCTTGATGTCTGCCATTAGTAAAGTGTGGTACTAAAAACATTCTGATTATATAGCTTTTAACAGGCCATTGGTGACTGTGAAACCTTGCATAAATTAGATGAATAAAACTGAGTATTCCAATAAAGACATTATTTCAGGTTGATTCTAAATTGAATACCACAGTAAGATGTTTCTCCATATTTTAAATCCAGACATAGTTTAAGAATCTCCTCAGAAGCCTAACTCTTTTTTATTTTATTTTATTTTTTACTATTTTCCAGCCATTTAATATCTTCTCTCCAATCACTGTCTTTACATCTGTGCCTTTTCTCTGTGTGGAGTCAGGGCTGCACAGGCAAATGGGGTATTGTTGTGGCCCATCTGTGTTTTATAGGCCCCGTGATGAGAATGTCCTTTTGTCTCTGTGTTAAATGTTACTATCAGCAATGTTACCTTTTCCTCATCAAAATCTCTTTAAATTAGAATATCTGTGCTAAACGATGTCATTTTTTTTACATAATACCTTCAAATTACTCTATTTGAATTAGTTCTTAATCTTCTATTTCAAATACTTTTCATTTGTTTGTTTTCTTTTGTCCTCTCTGTAGCCCATTCTTGCTTGAAATATTTTTGCTTTGTTTCAGCTTCTTTTCTTCTGCTTCTTTGTGTGCTTGCCCATGGCAGAGATATGAGATTCAAACTGACATAATTCTTATCCTTTCATTCTTCATTGGAGAAGTGAAATCTGATAGGAGGGAGTGAGGATTAGGTAGAATTGAATTTTATAGACATATTATTTAAAAAGCTACTTTTTATAGTCACCCAATTCTTGTGTGTTCAAAAATTTCAGAGAAAACACTTCATTGATGAGTCGATTGTGAAACAGGTGTACAGTCCTGATGACATTTTCTCAGGACCTGCTTTCCTAAGCAGTTTTACAATGATGTTGAAATTCCAACTTGCTTCAAATTATTTTTTAGGTGCTTGATTTGTTTTTATGAAATAAAATCCCAGAAATTAAATATTTTCAAATATAATTACAATGCTCTTAAAACTCAAAAAGTAATGTTCTTACAACTAAAAAATATAATCTCTTCCAATCTCTCACTCTTGTGAAATACTTTCAAAGATGTCATTGAGGTAGAATGAAGTAATGAAATAAATAAGAGAAACTATAATGTATATATATGTGAAAATTAAGTATAATGATTTTTTTCTCTGATGATTTTCAATAAAATAGTTTATGTTGATAAAAATTTTAGACAAACATAAATTGTTTGAAATTGTTGCTCCTTGTTTATTTTGATGGTTCAAATTATGTGGCATATTTATTTTTCCTTACATCTAATGTAATGTATATAATCTGTTTTTAATGGATTGCGGCCTAGAGTTTAATTGAAGTCATAAAGTCTCCATTTATAATTCACTTGTAATTATGTTGCCTATAAAAGAGAGAGTTGCTTAGAATCTATAACAACATATTAACGCATAGTTTCAATGAGTTTTTAAATTTATTTTAACTTTCTATGAAAATTTTCTTTTGAAGGATAAAAAGATGAAATTTAGGGTACTAAAACGGATAGAACCTTTTTTTTCCCCAACCATGTCAATATTGTCATGTTGAGGACATGAACAGCAACAACATAAGACATTATGAATTTTAGGGGAAAGAGCTGAAAGAGCTTGAAGGTCAAGGAAAAGGGATCAGTTAATTCACAGAACAAGCAAGTATTTCACATCTAGTCTGGGATCACTGGTTGTACAAGGGTGAACATATTTAACATCTAGACCTGTTGCAGTGAATAGGTTCCAATCCTGACCCTAGGGCAACGTTAGTTTATTACTGTGTGAAATGTATCACAGAGGTCACAACTATTCCTAGGAGACAGAACCTGAGGATGCTAGGAGCAGTGGTCACTACGCTTTCTACAATACTCTTAGAGTTAGTGCCTTTGTTATTGCATGTGAACGTATATTTAATATAAAATGACCTTTTACAGACACATGACAAAGCTATAATGAAATCATATATTTTCTGCCAGGACTGACAAGACTATTTTGCAAAATAAACTCCGGCATGTGTCTATAATCCAAATAAATGGAAGTATGAAATAATCAGAATTTCCATGATTAGAAGTTAGCCAGGAGATTCAAGCTTAAACAGATTTAAAGTAACTCACATGAGTTAGAGAGGGAAGGAAACTTGAAGATGAGAGGAAACGAAGGTAAGTTTCATTGGAAGAAGGTAAAGCAAATCTCCAGAGAGGGATAAAGGAGAGAGTTCAAGAGAATGTGACATCTTTGGGAAAAGTAGAGAAGAGAGTAGAGAAATGCTATTCATACTAATCTATTAATCATACTACAAGCTATCTTATCACTTTTTTTTTCAAAAGTGCCAAAGTACCAAATGAAAAGAGAGGAGCATATGAATGCTGTCATGATTCTAAGAGAGAAAATTATTCATGCAACTATGAAGTTGAAAATTTTTAAAATTAAATGCCAAGGTTAATAGCGATCTGTGTAATAGTACCTAAAGATTTTGAAGTTATAACTGCTCAAATGATTAGCAAGTTCTTATTTAAATAACGTTCAGAGTAATAAAAACATGTGTCCCAAATAGAGCACAAAGGCCACATTTAATGCCAGTGCTTTTTCGTGAAACAATTGGAAGGCATCTTAACTGTTTGTTGTTCATCAAAAGGGTAAAAATATGCACGAATGCAATTTATTGAGTTGTATGCACCATCACAGGCATGAAAAATGGGTTAGGTTTAAGTTTCTGTTCTGCCACTTACTAGCTGGTCAACTTTTTAAATCTTTCTGCCACTCAGCATTTTTTAACTAAGAATAGAAAACAATCATACTTACTGCATAGTGTTCTGAGAATTTAAAGCATTAATTACACAAAGTGCTTAGTACAGTATTTGTCAGCTAGTAAGGGTCTTATAAATTATTATTATTATTATTACTATTATTATCATGACTTTTACAGGTAAAGCTTTACTACTGTTTGATACCAGGAAAGATAGATATATACTTGGTGAAAACACCAGCTGGCTAAGAAACTGCAGAAATAGTCTACAATATTAAAAATAAATCACTGAAAATGATCTAGTTCCTACAAGATTTTAAAATTTTGGTCTTTTATTTTTTTTGCTGATATATATATATCCACCTTTATCTTGCCAAGTGTAAGAGGATCCAGTGCCATTAATTTAAATCAAAATAAAGACAAATTTTACTGTTCATAAATCCTCATTGTCACTATCCTTATGAAACTAGGGGATATTCAGGGCTGTTTGTGGAAATCAGTTTTTACATGGTACTCTGTTGGAGGGAAATATGGAAATAGAAAGGATCAGTTGCCTTGTTTCTTATCAGATTCTTGAGTTTAAAGGCTCTGCTAAGGTAGAGGGGGACCCTTACCCTGTAACCCCTGAGAGAAAGGGTGTAGAGACCCGTTAGGAAGATTTTCTCAAGCTAAGTGGAAACTGATTCACTATGTATCAGAACTTATAAAAAGGAAAATTAAGAAGAACATGAAATGTGACCATTTCTTTTGAACTCCAGAACACCCTGAGAAAGCGCCTGCACGCTTCTGGAGTGCTCTGCATTGCTGGGGGTGGGAGAGGAAGAGGGAGATGAAAGAGAGGGAGAGACGTGCCCGCCAAAGACATCAAACCAAAGTAATTATCAGAAAGAAGCCAGTTAAAAACATGTGAGGCCACAGAAGGACATTTCTTTATTCCTCAGTTCATGACATAGATATGTAAATTTCAATGTTGCTTATATCTGAAAATCTGTTCAAGGTAAATCTTAAAAGAGAGTTTAGAGATCATTGTATAATGGTTTTGTGCAGCAGTTCAGCAAATACCAACATTCAGAATGTCAGCTGTATAATTGTGAGCAGCTACAAGGACACAGGAGCAGAAATCATGATGAAGAAAGCAGAACAGGGCTAGCCATGGGACCAGAAAGCACTGAGAAGAGAATGAGAAGCATGTGGTCAAAGTGGTGCAGGTTCCAGAGCTTGATCTGAGCAATCCCGAGTGAGAGCTGTTGTAGATATGTGGTCAAATCAGATAGGGGAGGCAGATAAAACCAGTTCAGAAGAGACATGTGTCCAAGGTCAGAGATCTGAGTAGATGCCACACTAAAGGACATTTAAACAGTGGCAAAACTAGGGATATTTTCTGATTGCAGCACAAATGTCAAGAGCAGATACTTTTGGAACAACCCAGAAATTAGCAACATCAGGAAGCCACTGTTAACCCTAGAGCAAAGAAATGATTTACTGGAGCCCAGGGATGAGTAGCAATAGCCTGTCCAGTGGGATCTACAGTTACAGTCACAGAAGAGATACAGCTGTTTCTGGAAAGAAGAATGGGGAGAGTTCTGGCTTCTCTCCACTCCTCCATCTCCTGGTAGTATCTCCTTCCTGTTGCCTGTGACTAGCCCTAAGCCAGCTGATAGGTGAACCTGGGAAATGCAGCCTGCAGGAGTCAGCCTCTGAGACACACACAGAGCAGATGAAGGAAGGGCAAGGACTGTATCTGTGGGCAAATAGGCCCAGGCTGGCACTCATCTATTTATTCTTTCCATATTTGAATCTCTAAAATCTCCACTAAATAAAACTGAAGTAAC